GGTGCAGTACTGGGACCCGAAGAGCGCGGTGGGAACCCTGCCGGTCCGATTCGTGAAGCAGGAGCCCCGCGCCGCCTACCGAGCGGAAGAAGCAGACCTGTCCAAGGAGCAGGACGACTGGACCTGGCAGGAGTATGCCGAGGAGGGAACGCAGAGGATAGAACAGACTGAGACCGGGCAGCGGACGCCCGACTTGAAGGATCGAGTCAGCAAGACCTGGTGTCTCGAAGGCGCCATATGCATCCTCGAGCTCTTCGGTGGTATTGGGACGGAGCTGGCCGCGGCACTGAAGGCCGGCTGTTTCGTACGGAAATGGATCCACGTGGTGAAGGATCCGGTCGTGAGGAAAATGGCATATCACCACGCGCTCAAACTCCTGGAGGAATACCCGCAGCAGATGTCGATCTCGGCGATCCACATGGAGGGCGAGGGGGGGGTGCATGACGTCCGCGACATCACTCGGCCGCAGCTGGAAGAGTGGGGACCCATTGACTTGGTGGTCGCGGGATGGAAGTGTCAAGGGTACTCGCGGGCCGGGGAAGGGAGAGGGATGGACGATCCTCGGGGGGCGTCGTTCGGAGACCTAGAGGGGGTGTTGCGGATGATACAGCACTCGGGCAGGGAATTCATATTCATCCTGGAGAACGTGGATATGGCAGATGACAGGAGGGAACCGGTGAAGCAGGCCTTCGAGGAAATCCAAGGAGTGCTGGGGAGGGGAGTGCCGGCTGACGCAGCGCAGTTGGGCTCGAGGGCGCACCGACCGCGGCGGTACTGGCAGAACGGCGTATCGGAAGCGGTCCTGCGCCATTCCTTGGCTCAAATGCAGAGGCCACATCTCCGACTGGTGAAAGATATCCTAGGCCCGAACCGGATCCCTGTGCCAGTGACAGTAGAAGACCACCCTTCGCAGTACCAGTGCAACGTGCCCGGGGAGCCCAGGAGGGCCTGGCCAACGCTGGTCTTGTTTGCGGAGGCCCGGGGGTTCATCATGGAAGGACCCTTACCCGGGCCAGGGATGGTATACGACTCGCGGGCCCGGCGATGGGAAGCGCCCACCGCAGAAGATAGGGAGTTGGCGATGGGGCATAAGTGGGGAGCGACGGCCCATCCAGAAGTGACGGAGGCACAAAGGAGGGCAGCCTTGGGGCGGGCGATGGACCTGAACGTCATGACATGGATCCTGGAGACCATCAGGATGCACCTGAAGACCAAGGCGGTGCAGCGGGAGTTGGATGGGAGCCTGTGTTATCAGGACGAACGCGAGGCAGCGTGGAGACGACAATAGCTGGACAGCATAGAGGCACAGAGGACAGCCCGCATACAGGAAGGGTGGACCTTCATGGTGGCCGAGGCAGTACCGGAAGGTGACGAAGCCGAAGGAGGAGTAGCGGGCGAAGAGCGGCAAGAGAGCAGCACAGCAGCCGGAGAGGTGCAGACCCCCGTGGCCGGGAAAGACGCGCTGACCGAGAAGGAGTGGGAGATAGGCGGAGGGTTAGGGGTGGAAGCCACGGCAGCCTTGAGGGGAGTGTTGGCAGACCATCGGAAGACTTTCGCCTTCACGCTCCAGGAACTAGGGAGATGCCGAGTGCAAGAGATGCGGATCACGCTAAATAGCGAAGCCCCAGTGTACCACCGCAAGCAGAGCATGAGCCCAGGGGATGTGGAAGTATGCACGGCCAAGTGCGCCGAGCTGCTGGAAGCCGAGCTGATACGGAGGTCAGAGAGCGAGTTCGCGGCGGCTACAGTGGTCGCCTCCAGAACTGACATAACGGGAGAAGTGTCGGCTAAACGAATGTGCGGGGACTACCGTGGGCTAAACAAGGTGACCGTGCCTGATCGGTACCCAATGCAATCGGCGGAGGAAATCTTTGATAAGCTGCACGGTGCGACGGTGTTCTCGACCCTAGACCTGCGCCAGGGCTTCAATCAGATTCTGATCCGAGAGGAGGATTGCAAGAACACCGCATTCCACGGTCCCGACGGCCTATACGAGTGGACGGTGATGCCTTTTGGCACACGGAATGTGCCGGCAGTATTCCAGAGGACGATGGACTCAGTGCTAAGGGGAGTACCAGCCGCGGCCTGCTACATAGATGACGTGATAGTGTTCAGTGCGAATGAGGAGGACCATGTGCGGGACGTGAGGGACACGCTCGAAGCGATAAGCCAAGACGAGCTGACCTGTCACCCGAAGAAGTGTAAGTTCGGCCAGAGGACCGTGCAATACTTGGGGTTCGAAGTGGGGGACGGGAAGCTGAGCGTCCAAGAGGCGAAGGTGGAGGTCTTGGACCGAGTGCCCACTCCCACCGACCGCTCCTCCCTGCGGGCAGTCCTCGGGTTTCTCGGATACTACCAAAGGTTCGTCCCGAACTTCAGCCGAACCGCGACCGTCCTGAATCGCCTCTTGAGGGAAGAGCAGACGTGGCAGTGGGGAGAGGAGGAGCAGCGGGCACTAGACCAGTTAACCCGAGCGGTCAAAATGGCGACGGTACTGGCCCTCCCAAATAAGAATGACTCGTTCGTGCTATACACCGACTGGAGCAGCGCGGGGATGGGAGCCGTCCTCTGCCAAGAGAAGGAAGGGGAAGAGAAGGTGGTGGCTTTTGCTAGCCGCAGCTGTAATCCGGCAGAAACGAACTATAGCTCCTATGAAGGGGAAGGCCTAGCGGCAGTCTGGGCAATTACCCACTTCCGGGTGTACCTGCAAGGGCGGCCCTTCACACTCGTCACGGACCACCAGCCTCTGACGTGGCTGATGATGAACCAGGCGCTCACGGGCCGGAACGCGAGGTGGGCTATGAGGCTTCAGGAATATGATTTCGTTATCAAACATAGGCCGGGCAAGAGCATGCAGCACGTGGACGACCTGTCGCGGCAGCCCGCGCTGGAAAGGCCATCGGCGTATTTGGTGACCATGGCCCTGGACATTGACCGAGCCGGGGCTAAGAAGAGTGAAAAGAGAGGACCGGAAGACGTCTGGGAAGACCAGGAAGTACTGCAGTGGGTTCAAGGCAAGACAGGGGAAGAAGGGGCAGTACCCGAGCGAGTGCGGGCGCGGGGGGTTCACTACAGGTGGTACCAGGATCAACTGCAGGTGAACACGAAGGAAGGCTGGAAGGTAGTGCCGGAGCCAGGGCAGAGGGAGGAGATCATTGCGCGAGTGCATTGGCAGCTGGGGCATTTCGGGGGATTGAGGACGCAGCAGCTGGTGGAGACTACGTGGTGGTGGGCCGGAATGCGCAAGCAAGTGAGGGAATGGGTACAGAGCTGCGAGGTGTGCAGCCGGAACTGGGCGGAACTGGACCGCGGGAGGCAGGAGTTGCAGTCACTGCCCATATACGGACTAGGGTTCCGGTGGTCCTTAGATCTGGCCGGGGAAATGCCACTGAGCCGCAAGGGCAAGCGATACATACTCATCATGATCGAGCACGGCAGCAAATGGGTGGAAATGAAGGCGCTGCCCAGTAAGAATTCAGCACGGATCGCAGAAGCATTCGAGGAACAGGTCCTTACCCGGTTTGGAGCGTACGGGGAGGTGCTAACAGACCAAGGCACCGAATTTCAAGGACAGTTCGACCAGCTGCTGAAGGAGACAGGGATTACACATCGGCGAACATCGCGGTACCACCCGCAAAGCGACGGCCTTACCGAGAGATTCGTACAGACGCTGAAGAAGGGGCTGCGGGCGTACGGAGAACAGTATAAGCGGGACTGGGACCTACGGCTCCCATGGGTCACAGCGGGGTACCGCTTTAGCAAGCAGGCGCCTCTAAGGGACATGTCGCCGTATTACCTCCTGCTAGGGAGAGAGCCAGTCCTGCCCATTGACGCACCGAAACTGCTGACAGACACATTGATGGCGGGATCAGAGGAAGCGTGGGTAGCAGTGGCGGAGGCACGGGCCAAATACCTGCAGGAGCTGCTGCCGGCTGCCTTGGAGAACCTCCATGTAGCCCAACTGCGGGATGTCCAGCGATACAGGCAGAGGGGAAAGCAGAGCGGAGGAGCGAGGGCACCAACCATTCTGCCAGGAGGGGAAGTTTACCTGAGGAAAGCGAAGGAAGACTTGCTGGATATCGGACTGACAACAGAAAGGTGGAGAGTGAAGGAGGTGAAGGAGTCGGGGTTGATAGTACTAGCTAGCGCCAAGGGGGAGGAGTGGAGAGACCATCTCATGAACGTAGCGCCAGCCAGGCAACGCCGAACTGGGCTAGGCCAGCTGGAGGCCGGCCAGGGGAGCACCCTAGGCTATGGACTCAGGGATCCATCGGCTAATCCAGGAGCAAGGAGCCGAGGAGGGGGCAAGTGAGTGAGACAGAGAAGCCAGGAACAAGGCAGGAGCCTCAGCAAGAAAGGCAGTGGAGAGACAGGTCAAAAGAGAGGGAGGTTCCAGAGGAAGTAGCGTATTCCGACAGCTGTCACGCAATTAATAAAGGCAGCAGTAGTATACGTAGGAAATGAAACCTTGATATAATTGTGTGACAGAGTAGTGTAGCGCTGGCTTGTAGCGAAACAGATAAGGTAGGCGGGAACCAAAACCGGAACGGGCTCCCTTCAGCGGGAAAGGCCGAATATGCCAGCGACAGCTGGCCAACGGTACGAAGTGGCAGCATACTTAGGTGCGCAGGAGGCCATTGGGCCCCTGCTTGCTTGTTTGTTTTCTCAATTAGCTAAACATTCTTCCAAACCCTAGCGCGAGAAGCCAGTTCAAGCAACAGCCAGCCGAGCAACCCTCTAGTACAGGGGGCAAGTTAGTGGTCCTTGGCAAGTGAGTGAGACAGAGAAGCTAGGAACAAGGCAGGAGCCTCAGCAAGAAAGGCAGTGGAGAGACAGGTCAAAAGAGAGGGAGGTTCCAGAGGAAGTAGCGTATTCCGACAGCCTGCCTTACGTGCCCCTCCCTCTCCCCCACTACTCACGTCTGGTGCTCTCCCCCAGTCCCTCACCTTTTCCTTCAACCTTTCCACCTTACCCTTTCCCTCTTCTCCCATCTCCATCCTTTACTGCATGCAAGATGTGAAAAGGGGCAAGAAGGCAAAGGGAGGGGCAGGAAGGCACAGGGAGGGACAGGAAGGCACAGGGAGGGATAGAAAGGCACATGGAGGGTTAGGAGCACAGGGAGGGGCAGGAAGGCACAAGGAGGGATGGACATGAAGGTAGAGGGAGGGACAGGAAGTCACAAGGAGGGATAGGAAGGCACAGGGAGGGACAGGAAGGCACGGGGAGGGATAGGAAGGCACAGGGAGGGCCATGAAGGTAGAAGGAGGGACAAGATGGCACAGGGAGGGGTGGAAAGGCACAGGGAGGGACATGAAGTCACAGGAAGGCATAGGGAGGGACAGGAAGATAGAGGGAGGGACAGGAAGGCACAGGGAGGGATAGGAAGGCACAGGGAGGGGCAGGAAGTCACAGGGAGGTACAGGAATGCACAAGGAGGGACAGGAAGGCACGGGGAGGGACAGGAAGGCACGGGGAGGGACAGGAAGGCACGGGGAGGGATAGTAAGGCACAAGGAGGGCCCGAAAGGCACAGGGAGGGGCAGGACGGAACAGGGAGGGACAGGAAGGTAGAGAGAAGGACAGGAAGGCAGAGGGAGGGACATGAAGGTACAAGGATGGGCAGGAAGGCACAGGGAGGAAGGCATATGTAGAGACAAGAAGGCAGAAGGAGGGGCGGGAAGGCACAAGGAGGGATAGGAAGGCACAGGGAGGGGCAGGAAGGCACAGGGAGGGGCACGAAGGCACAAGGAGTGGAAAGAAGGCAAAGGGACGCACAAGAATGCACAAGGAGGGGCAGGAAGGTACAGGAGGGAAACGAAGGTAGATGGAGGGATAGGAAGTCAGAGGAAGGGACAGGAAGGCACAGGTAGGGACACGAAGGAAGAGGGACAAGAAGGAAGAGGGACGGATATGAAGGCAGAGGGAGGGACAGGAAGGCAAATGGAGGGACAGGATTTTACAGGGAGGGGCAGGAAGGTACAGGAGGGACAGGAAGGTAGAAGGAGGGACAAGAAGGCAGAGGGAGGGACGGGAAGGCACAGTGAGGGATAGGAAGGCACACGGAGGGACACGAAGGAAGAGGGAAAAAAAGGAAGAGGGACAGACAGACTGGCAGACAAAAGGACAGGAATGTCAACAGGAGTGTTGTTTGGCCCGTCCTCGCTTGGGCGGAGCCGACCTCGTGGTCGGATGTGCGGGGGTTGCAGCCGGCCTGCAGCAGTGGGCACAGGGGCCACTGCAAGGGCGCCGAGCTGGAGGGCGCCTGGCTGGAGGGCGCCGGGCAGGAGGACGCCGTCCTGGACGCCTGGTTGGCGTCCTGGAAGGCCAGACGCCGCCCTGGGCGTCCACACGGCGTCCGGGAAGGCCGGACGCCGACCTAGGCGTCTGCACGACGTCCTAGGAACCTGGGACGCCGCCCTGGGCGTCTGCACGGCGTCCTGGGGGCCCGGACGCCGACCTGGGCATCCTGGGGGGCCCAGACGCCGACCTGGGCGTCTTGTCGGCGTCCTGGGAGGCTGGGCGCCGCCTTGGACGTCTGCAAGGCGTCCTGGGCGTCTGGACGCCGACCTGGGGGTTCGGACGGTGTCCAGGGCGTCTGGACGCCAGACTGGGGACGCCGGGCATTGGTGGCCGGCTACGGACTGCGCTGGTCGGCCAGGCGTGGTTGCTCGGTCGACCGGGATACCCGGGCGACGTGTGCGAGTGTCGCCGGGGTGGAGTCTGCGAGGCCGACCTCGGGGGTGGTATCCCGAGGTCGACGTGGCTGGTGGGCGCAGTCGCTGGCATGGAGTCTGCCAGGCGTCTGCGCTGTGCTCGTGACAAGGTGTGGAGCACCAACCATCTGCGCGCAACTGCGAAGCAGGTGCACCATTGTCCTGCGGGTGCAACGCTGTGCAGCCGACTTGCTGCAGCGTTGGCACACGGTGGACTTGCAATGTTGGCGAACCGCTACTCTGCAACGCTGGAGCGGTGCGAGCGCTGCTGCGCTGGAGTGCGGTCGACCATGCTGCGCTGGAGGTCGAACAGCAGCCTAGCTAGCCCTGATGTAGTCTGTGTTGCCAATGTTGTTGAACAATTGTTGTCAATCTTTGCTAGTGAAACTCTTGCAAAATCTCCCTGTGAATGTTCAAGCAGAGAACACACAAGAAAACGACTAAGGAACGCAGAGATCACACGAGCACCCGTGCCTAGCCCACAACCTAGCTCCCGTTGCTAAAGTTATCTCCGCATGGTGCGGTGAGCGTGGACGACACCGCGACGTAGTTCAGTCTAGCCGACTTTGCACTTACCGATCGTGTTCGTAGACCGGCAGCCGTGCAGTCACTAGCGTGCGCGTAGGTGACGCCGAGGTGATGGACACCGTGGAGGCACAGCTGGAAAATGCGAGGAGACGCCATGAGGCCCAGGAGTACGGGGCGATACCCTGGGCAGTCGTCGAGGCTGGACTCCGCTCCGTGTGAGCAGCGGAGCACCTCCCTTCTCGGCCTGCCTCTCCTCGACCGGTGAACAATGACGGCGGCGTCGACGTGGGCGTCAGCGCCGGTGAAGGACAGGTTGGCAGCAGTGCGGGAGGCACGTCGAGGCAACGAGGTGTGATACACGCCGGTGAAGCCGGCGGCGTTCAGGCGCGAGGGATGTAGTCGTCGACGGCTGCAGGCTCCTCGCAGGGCGACATCGGAGGGCGTCGAAGCGGAATGTTGCCGATGTCGGCGACCCAGGTGACGGCGGGCAGGATTGCACCGAGCTACGGCTACTTCAAGTTTACGCCAAACAGGATCTTGGTCACCCCGCCGCTCGTTGGTCGACAGGACATACTCACCTGGAAGGAAGCCATCGAGCCCCAGCTGGAGATGGCCGGGCTGATCGGCTTCGCCCAAGGGACCGTGGCGACACCGGAGGAGCACCACGCCGACTTACGAGCAGAGTTTTGCGCCGTGCAGCTGTTGACCTTCACGGTCATCTCGCGGTGCTGCTTGCCGGGCGTGCAGATCGCTCTGAAGTGGTGCAGGGAGTACCTTGACGCCGAACACCGGGCATGGCACTTCATTGAGTCTACGTACCAGGTCACCGACGACTTGTACATCGCCCAGCTTGAGGGGCAGCTGACGCACCTGCGTATGGGTGACGAGGAGACGGCTACCGACTACTGCAACCGAGCCCGGCAAATTCTCGCCACCATCAGGATGGCCGGCGCGCAGTACTCGACGGCGTCGTATATCACCCATGTCATGCAGGGACTCTCGAGTAGCTACAACCTCCTGAAGCGGCCGTCAATGGCGCCGAGCACGAGGGCGACGCTCAACGAGGACAACTTGACCTCGTATATCCTGCAAGATGAAGCGATACAGGAGGCAGAGCGGTCCCCGGAGCTCTTGGCACAGGCAAACTTCGTTGCCCAGGCGAAGCAAGGTGGTCGACCGGGGCAGCGTGGGCAGTCCGGCGGCGGTGGTGGCAGCGGGTGGAAGCCGGCGAAGGATGCCGAGAAGCAGAAGTCTGCCACGGGTGGCGGCCGAGGAGGAGGAAGCCGGCGTCGGGAGTGCTGGATCTGTCACAGCCCCGACCACCTCTCCTTCGAGTGCCCCGACCGCAGCGATACCGACGACGACAGCGTCAAGGGAGCCCGCGGGAGGTCGGCCAGCCGTCGTCCACGTCGAGGAAACCAGCCGTGCAAGGAGAAGCAGTCGATCAAGTCGACCTCGGCGAAGGACGCCGACTCCTCTGCTGGTGGCAAGGGGCGAGACGACAAGGCGGCGTCGTGCTCGCCGGTCGGCGTCGTGGAACCGACCGTCTTGCTGGCGCCGGAGGCCAGTGAGGACTTCCAGGCGGTGGCAGCAGCTGTGCAAGCGAACCCGGCGGTGGTCCTGCTCGACAACGGCTGCTCGCACCACCAGATGTGGACGAAGGAGGTCTTCGTCGACCTGCAGCCGAGCGGCGACGTCAAGCATGTGCGCGGGCTCAATGGGGCGCTGCAGGACGTGCAGGGCCGCGGCACCATCCGGGTGGAAGGAGAGGCCGGGAAGCAGGTGCTCATCCCCAACGTGCTCTACTTCCCAGGCGTGTGAGTAAACCTGCTTTCGGCCGGCCGGCTGAAGGAGCACGGCGTGAAGCTGCAGGAGGACGACAACGGGATGCTTCTCGTCTCAGCGGCGGGAGAGGTGCTCGGCCGGGAAACGTACACCGGGCGTGTTCTCTGCACCGACCTGCGCCCCTGCTCGGCCAAGCAGACAACGCCCACCACGGATGTAGTGGCCCTGCGGGCGATCGTCTCGGCGACAAAGGCAACGCCGAACAGGATGCACGCGAGGCTGGCGCACGTCGGCATGGACACCATCCGGAGCTCGGCGAAGCACAAGGTCGCCACCAAGCTGGACCTCAAGTCGGCGTCTGGCGCTGACTCACCGTGTGTTTCGTGCGTCGGCGGGAAGCTGGCGCGACACACCTTCCTCGACAAAACCTCCGACGCCGACGAAGTGCTGGCCGTCGTGCACATCGACCTGTGCACGCCGTTTTGCGTGGCCGCCAAGGATGGTAGCTTGTACTTCTTGCTGCTGAAGGACCGCAAGACCCGCTACGTGTGGGTAAGGCCGGTCACCAAGAAGTCGGATGCGTTGCAGGCGTTCGTGCAGTGGCTGGCGGTGGCTGAGCAGCAGACGAAGCAGTTGGTGCTGATGCTGCGCTCTGACCGTGGAGGGAAGTTCCTCGGGAAGCAGTTCACCGACTTCATGACCAGCAAGGGGATCGTCCACGATCTGACCTGCCCGTACACCCCGCAGCAGAACGGCATGGCGGAGCGGGAGATGAGAACGCACATGGGCGTGCAGCACAACTGGTGGCACCTCGCTCTACGCCAGGCCATCTGGGTCCGCAACTGCCTTGAGCGGTCGGCATTGCCGCCTGGGACGACGCCGTACCAGCTGCTCATTGGGAAGAAGCCCGACTTGTCGCTGGCACGGATGTGGGGCTGCATGGCGCAGTTCTTGGTCCCCGAGCAGCAGCGTGGTGGGAAGCTGCAGCCGAAGGCTCGGTGGGGCCTTCACCTTGGCGTGTCGGAGGAGAGCAAGGGCTGGGAGCTCCTTGACATCGCCGACAACCGAGTGGTCACCACGTCGGACGTGGTGTTCTACGAGAGCATGTCGCTGGAAGAGTGGAAGTCGGCGTACGGGCCGGCGTCAGGGCGGATGCCAGTTCACCCGCCAACGGACACCTCGACGGCGACGCTGCCTCTGCTCGTCGAGGTCGGTGAGCTTGCTGGTGAGGACGCCGAGGACGTCCCCAAACCCTGCCCTCCACCGGCCCCTCCCCTAGTTGCTGACTTGCATGGGCTGACCCCGACGTCTGCCTCCGGCGATGAGGGGAGAAGTGGGGCGTCACCTGTGGCGCCGGCCCCAAGCATCGCCGGTGGCCGCCGTGATGCTGTGCCAGTCGGCGTGGGAGCAAAGCTGACGCCGACCAGGAGGCAGCAGGTGGTGCCGCCGACTTTGGTAAAGCCGGCGAAGGAGGCTCCTGCAGAACAGCAGCTAACAGGGGAGCACGCAGCAGCGACGCCGACCAAGGAACAGTCGACGACCGGGCAGTCGGCAGGGGATCCCACCGCAGGGGAGAAGTTGGCTGGGACGCCGACTGAGGTGCAGCAGGACGCCGAGGACAGCGACGACAGCGACGATGGAGGGGACGCCGAGGAGGTCCAGCCGGGACCACGGCGTACAGGCCGACTTCGGAGGCCGCCTAACTTCTTCGTCCCCGCTACCTTCACCACGGTGTACGACGTGGACGATGATGCCGGCGACCTGCTGTACGACGACGCCGAGGAGGATAAAGAGTTTCCGGAGCTCGACCCTGACATGCTGGCTGACCCCGAGCACCGTTGGGACATCTCGATAATGACGGTGAAGGAGGCGTTGGCAAGCTGGAAGGGCCCGGCGGTGAAGGCCGCCATGGAAGAGGAGATCCGCAGCCTCATCAACATGGGCACGTGGGAGCTGGTCGAACGCCCGCCGGGAGTGAACATCATAAAGAACCGGTGGGTGTTGACGACGAAGTACCACATCGACAACACTGTCGAGCGGGAGAAGGCGAGGCTGGTTATAAAGGGCTTCACGTAGGTGTACGGTGTCAAACTATATTTATATAGTTTCTATATGTTAGTCTAGGTGTTGTACAATTTGTTACACTTGTGCTAGGACACTTGCTATGGTTTCCTATATCTTGTTTGTTCATCCTTTTCCTTAGTCAATTTCTCACGCTAGTTAGTTCTTGACATGGTATAGAGCTAAGCGATCCGATGGGCCCACCGCCCCGTGACCCGACCTAGCCCGAAGCGCCCTAAGGCCCGAAGCGCCCCGGTTGCTTCGTAGCCCGTGCGTCACCCGTTTTCGAGTCACCCGTTTAGGCCCTCGCGTCACCCGTTTCTGCCCCGCGCGTCACCCGTTTGTGCCCCGCTCGACTTGCCCGCCAGTCCGCTAGCGCGCGTCAGACCCGCGCGCGCAGCCTTAGACGCACGCGCACCCACGCGCACGTAAGTCGCGACCTATTGCGAGTAGGGGAGGAGCCCGCTACCCGCGCTCGTCGCCTCACACGTCGCCCATTCGGGCTGAAACCGTCGCCTTACCTGGAACCCGTCGAAACCCACCTCCCCACTGGTTAGAAATCGTTTCCACCGGTCAAAAATCGTCACCACCCGCCGCCCCACGCGTTAGCACCCTCCTCACGCCCTGAAACCGCCGCGCCACCAGTTTGCACCCTCCCCACGCCGTGAAACCCGCCCCCTACCGGTTAGAAATCGCCCTTACTCGTCGCCCGCCACCTTACCCGCCACCCCAACCGTTAGCACCCTCCCCATGCCCTGAAACCGCCGCCCCACCAGTTATCACC